ACTGCAAATGTTTTTCCCACAGTTATAAAATCCCGAATACAGATAAACCTAACAATGCTTTATTTTATGTTGCAGCGACGTTTACAACATCGGAGCGCCCGTAAAATGAAACAACTTAAATTTAATATTCATTGTATTTTATTAGAAGAGATTGTTATTAAAAATTAAAATCGCCGTTAATACAATTTATTGTTTTGGCATTGTCGCTCCGGCACAAACGAGTTTTAAATAATTCGTTTGCGAAAAGGACGTCCACGATTTTAATTAAGTTAATTAGCATTTTAGTGAGATGCTTTGAAATTTCTCGGTTGGTGTTTATTTGCAGTGCTTTATTTATATCCGCATTAAAGAAAAATGTTGGACGTGTATATGTGATAAGGATAAGGTATTTTAGCGAGTTCCCTCGGGGCTCTAGCCCCGATGCTGTGTATCGCAAACGAGTTCAGGTGTTCTTATTTCCTCCCTCTTTTTATCCCTTTTGACACATTGTTTTGTAAACAAAAATACAGATTACCACACACAAAGAGATTAATTTAACACTCTTTGTGTGTTTTAAACCCTGCTGCGACTTTATACAATCGACTGATTTATGTAGTGCATATTATTAATCAGGTGTTGGAAGGATAACTTCAATTAACAAAGCTAACAAAGGTGAAAGCCGATGAAGTAACGATTACTTTTTCACTACACGAAATTAATACACACTTGGATTTAATTAAAGGTGATTAATTTAAATTCTTAGTGATGAAGGAGTGGTGGTGATTTCATCCCAACTATTACGTTAGTACGGGACAAGACAAAGAACTTTTAGAGGTGAGTCAGCAAATCGTTGTTCTTCGATAACTTCAGATTGTTACACATTATAATAAAAAGCGGATTTTACGCTAAAAAAAAAAAAACAAAATAGGTCATACAATAGGCGATAATAATGGGGGCTTTAGGCCCGAAAACTGGCAAAATACTTTAGGCGAGTTTTAGGAAAAATAAATTTTAGGTTTTCTTTGAGATCTAACACTTTAATTTAATTTTTGATTTTGTCCTATTTTTATTTCTCAATTTTTCCATTTTTCGGCTTTTCGATTTAGGTATCGACCTTTTGATGTTTTTATGTCTCGAAGTTTCAGTTTTTTGAAGTTTTCGATTTTTCGTCTTTTCGAGTTTTTAACTCTTCGATTTTCAAATTTTTCGTCATTCCAGTTTTGGAATTTTTCAATTTCTCGATTTTCCAGTTTTTCTATTCTTCAATTTTTTGGTTTTTTAATTTTTTACGATTTTAAAAATTTCCGATTTTTGATATTTCGATTTCTTGGTTTCTCAGATTTTCGATTCTTCAATTTTTCGATTTTTTCAATTTTACATTTTTGGACTTTTCAATTTTCCGAATTTTTGGTGTTTCGGTTATTTAAAATTTTTTAAGTTCTCGATTTCTTGATTGTTGGATATTTTGATATTTCGATTTTTTGATGATTCGATTGCTCGATCTTTGGACTTTTCAATTTTGGGTTTCGGTTTTTTAATTTTTGGATTTTTTTTTATTTCCCAATTTCTCAATTTATCCATACTCCATATTTCAATTGGTTGTCTATATTTTCCTAATTTATAGAGGTTTACGCAAAAAATTAAATTTTAGATTCTTTAAAGAAGCGGTTTTTCTTTGCTTGTACTTCATAGGCGAATTCTTTACAGATTACAAAATTTTGGGAATTTTTGTGTTAACCTCTATAAATTAGGAAAATATAGACAACCAAGGGGAAAAATGCTTTTCGAAAACTCGAAATATCAATAGATCGAACAATCGAAAAAATGAAAGATCGGAACATCGATAAATCGAGAAACTGAGAAATCAAAAAATTTCAAAAATTGAAAAACGATAATAAAAAAATTTAAAAATTGAAAAATTGATATCTTAGAAGTTGAATAATCAAAAGATCGAATAATCGAAACATCAAAAAATCCAAAATTAAAATATCCAAAAGTTGAAAAATCGAAAAATTGAGAAGTCAAAAAAATCTAAAAAGCCAAAAATTCGAAAAATTAAGAAACTGAGAAATCGAAAGATCAAAAAATCGAAAAATACATAAATTTAAAAACTGAAAAGTAGAAAAATCGAAAAACCAAGAAATCGGGAAATCGAAAATTCAAAAATTTCAAAATCGCAAAAATTGAAAAACCGGAAGATTGAATAATAAAACTGAGAAACCGAAACATTAAAAAATTGGAAAATTGGAAAATCGAAAAGCCGAAAAGACTAAGGATTGAAACATTGAAAATTTCAAAAACTGAAACACCGACAAATCGAAACATCAAGAGATCGATAAATGGAGAAGTCGAAACAAAATTGAAAAATCGAACAATCCAGAAATCAAAAAAATCTAAAGCGCTAAAAATTCGAAAAATTGAGAAAACGAAACATGAAGCAATCGAAAAATTTGAGAGTATAAAAATCCAAAAAATCAAAAAATCGAGAATTCAAAAATCCAAAAACAAAAATTGCAAAAAATGATAAACTAGAACATTGAATAGAAAAACTGAAAAATCGAGGATTTGAAAAATTGCAAAACAGGAATGACGAAAAGTTCGAAAAAAAATAGGAAATCGAAAATTCAAAATTTAAAAAGTCGCAAAAATCAAAAAATTGAAAAAACCGAAAAATGGAAAGATCAAGCAATTGAAATACCACAAAATCGAAAAATAAAATCCAAAAACTAAGAAATCGAAAATAAACATATAATCGAAAGGCCAACAAATTTTAAAAGCGAATAATCGAAATGTCAAGAAATCGAAAAAACAGAAAAATCAAAAATTTAAAAATATAAATAATTGAAAAGTACAAATATCGAAAAACTGAAAAATCGAAAAATCGACAATTCAAAAAAATTTTAAAATCTAATAAAAATTCGAAAAACTGAGAAATTCAGAAGTCGAAACATTCAAAAATTGAAAAGTTGAAAAATCGAAAAACCAAGAAATCGAGAAATCAAAAATTCAAAAATTTTAAAATCGCAAAAATTTAAAAACCAGAAAATTGAATAGAAAAACTGAAAAATCGAGCATTTGATAAATTGTAAGGAGAAATGACGAAAATCCGAAAAATTGGGAGATCGAAGACTTAAAAACTCGAAGCATCGAAAAACTGGAAAATCGAAAAGCCGAAAAGACGAATAATCGAAACATCGAAGACTTCAAAAACTGAAACATCGAAAAATCGAAACATCAAAAGATCCGTACATGGAGAAGTCGATAAAACGGAAAAATTATGAAATCAAAGTCGGACAAAATTAAAAAATTGGAAAGTTAAAAATTGAAAAATTGTAAAATTTCAAATTAAAAGAAAAGTTGATAAATCGAAAAATTGAACAATCAACGAATCGAAATCTTGATAAATCGAGAAATAGAAAAACTGAAAAATAGAAAAATTTAAAAACCAAAAAATCAAAAAACTGAGAACCTGAAAAGCTGAAACCTAGAAGTCAAAATATCGAAAGATCGAGAAATTGAAAAACTTACAATTTTAAATATTGAAGAATCGAAATATGTACCTACATATTAAAAAATCTCAAAACTGAAATATCGAAAAATTGATAAAAAAAATTAAAGAACTGAAAAACTGAAAAACCCCAAGAAATCGAAAAACCGAGAATCGAAAACCCAAAATTTAAAAAATCGCAAAAATCTAAAAATTGAAAAACCGAAAAATTGATAAATTAAAGTATCCAAGAATTGATAGATCGAAAACTCGAAAAATCGAAAATCTATAGTCGAAAGGTCAACAAATTTTAAAAGAAATTAAAAAAAAAAATAATCGAAAAAACAGAAAAATTAAAAACTTTAAAATACGAAAAATTGAAAAGTCGAAACATCGAAAGACTGATAAATCGAAAAATCGAGAAATAAAAAAAAACTAAAAAGTTAAAAATGTGAGAAATTAAGAAATCGAAATATCAAACAACCGAAAAATTGAAAAATTAAAAAATAGAAAAATCGAAAATCCAAAAATTTAAAATCGTAAAAATGGAAAAACCAGAAAATTGAATAGAAAATCTGAAAAATCGAGCATTTGAAAAATTGCAAAACAAGAATGACGAGAAATTGGAAAATTTGGGAAAAGGAAAATCGAGAAGCCGAAAAGACGAAAACTTCAAAAACTGAACATCAAAAGATCGGTAAATGTAGTCGAAAAACGGAAAAACTGTGAAATCAAAATACGACTAAATCAAAAAATTGAATAATCAACAAATCGAAATTTCAATAAATCGAGAAATAGATAAATCGAAAAATCAAAAATTTTAAACATTGAAAAATTGAAAAACTGAAAATTCTAAAACCGAGAAATCGAACATAAAAAAATGAAAAATCTAAAACTTGAAAATTCGAAAAATAGAAACATCAAGAAACTGAAGAATCGAAATCCAGAAATCGAAAACTTCCAATTTTAAAAATTGAAAAATTGAAGAATCGGAATGCAATTTAAAAAATCTCGAAACTGAAATATCAAAAAACTGACAAATGGAGAAAAAATTGGGGAACTGAAAAACTGAAGAAACCCCAAAAATTCGAAAAATCGAAAAATTGAAAAACTGAAAAGTTGAAACATTGAAAAGTCGAGAAATCGAGAAACGAAAATTTGGAAACGTCAAAAACTGAAAAATTCAAAAACGAAGAAATCGAAAATTGTAAGTCCCAATACTGAAATATCGAAAATCGAAAGGCCAAAAAAATCGAAAATTCGAAAAAATTGTCATACGTATAATTTTGATTTTTTTCCCCAAAATTTCAATTCAGGACTATGTTACTTCCAGAAAATTGTAAGATGACATCCTCAATTCCTGGGCAGCATGAACTGACAAATTTTAACGATGTACCATGGCTCCGATAATTTTTAAACGTTTGCAAAATTTCAAAGCATTCGAATTTGCAATTTTAAATTTAAGTTCAAATGTTATACACTTTTTATTTATTTTCCAAAAATCTGGATGTCTAGGGTAAAAATTGAACACGGATTCATAAACCACAAATAAAGGAGTTATTTTATTTTAATGTTATTTTATCAAATTTAAATAACATTTAGTACCATTATGAAACTTGGAAATGATGTCACTTCCTTGTTGTTGGAGATGAGCAGACATCAGACAGACATGAAACACCGAGAAAACATGAAAGTCGGATGCACTTTGAGCACTCAAATTGTTAGAAATTTATGAAACACTTAATAAACATGGCACAAGTCCTCGTAAATTGGACGTCTGTAATAGATTGCATTTCAGGATTCTTCTACAGTTCGAGATCTTTGTCCGTTATTCTAATTTAGTCTCTGAACACTAGAAGTTAAAATAGAAATTAACTCAAGCGCACAGGAACTTGAATTCACAATTACCTTTATTTCATTGCATTTACTATTTTTCGTGGCAATACGACACTAATTGGTTGTTTTTCATGTTTTTTGTTTGCAAAATTAAACGAATTAAAAATGTGACTTTTCCTGTCAAATTCCGAGCAAGGCTGCCAACCATACAGAGCAAAAAGTGCTAGGTGGTGTGTCAATTTAGCTGTCGAGTCACAAACCAAAAGCAAGAAACAAGAAACCCGATCACGAATGCTCCATTTCCTACTTCGTGTGCACAAATCGCCTAAAATCAATTTTTATTTCCACATAATTCATCCACCTTAACCTCAAAGTCTCACAACCAGAATTACGTTGGTCATGCTGTTGACACGTGACAATTAAGACACATTCAAAACATGGCACCTAATTTAAACGTTTTTAATTAATGACCAGTTGCTTTACTTGAATTTCCTCATTCTATTTTCGGCTTCGAAACCGCCATTAAATATGAATGATACATCGAATAAAACAATCGTAGTGTATGGGAACCCTGCGTTTAGGAGTTTCTCCGCAATAAACGCCACATCCTTTACTTTTACGTGAGCGTATTTTGTCACAACTTTAGCGACATTGTAAATGCATGAGAAACAAAATAAAATCCTCGATAAACCATTTTCTGCTAATATAACTACACATTGGCTACACAAACATGCATTAAAGTTTTATGTGCTTGCAATACACTTTTTATTACCAGAGAAAATCCAGCGTAGAAATTTAACAATTCAGCTTTAATTCTCACCGAAGTACGACTGATTAAAGTTTACAACAAACTCAGCAGAAAAAAAACGATCGCCGACTCGGCGTATTGTTCGAACAATAACCAGTAAAAATTCACACTAGTGTCCGGGGTTGCCTATGCGTAAGGGGCCGCTGCAGTTCCTCTTTTTACAAGCGCTTTATTTATGAGACTTGAGCTGGAAGTTAACTAAAATCAACACAAAGGGCTTCGGAGCCCAATCAATAGCCATTCAAAATTGAGCACCGTTGCAGTGCAACCGTTTCATTGGCTTATATCTATGTAAAACGCCGCCATCCGCACCCGGAAGTCTTGTACCCGAAATCAATTCGTGGAAGATGCGCGATTTTGTTCGCAACTTCGAAAAACACACTTTCATAAAAGCTTGATACAAATCGGGAATCCGCTCGGACCCGGCGAGCGCTTTTTATTACGTTTATGTGGAAAGCTTTTTCTACGATCGTCATAACAGGGCAATTACTGTATTTTGCGGTCGGGTTTTTAAAATAGGAACGTAAGGCCGACGTCGGATGACCTTTTTCATTTGCTGTCGCTGCAGTGAACTGTATTTATAAAATTATCCGGTCTTCCATTATGCCCTATCCTAAATCGCTAGCATTAACTTTAATCAAATTAGTGCGAGACGAGAACTTCATTGTATTAAACAAGGAAATTTATACAACTCGTTTAAATAATTAGAATAGGCCGGCGGATCGTAAATATTCATTTTCGAGGGAAAAAACTCATTATATAAGCAATGAACGTTAAAGTTGACGACGAATCTTTAAGGTACCATTAATTATTTTTTGGATTTTGCAAAAACAACGCGAACGTTTCATTGATGGGAGAGTGCTTTACACTGTTTTTCTGGTATGGCCGCATAAAAACGAATTATTAACCCTTGGTCTTGAGTTTTTATGAAGATTTTTTTCTTTCCTGAAGTCTACTCGAGCGGATTGGAACATTAAAAAAATTTCAATGCGTTCATTTAAAACTAAACTTGTATTATCTTGTTACTAAATTAAACAATGTTAAGGAACTTCACACAAAACATCTTGAAATACGATACGATTTGAGTTTAATTAATGTATATAAAAATAACAAGGCGTTCCCATTCAGTTCAAAGTTTGTGGAACTTGTATGATTGAATGGCTTCGTTGTGTTAGTCTTAAAAACATTTTTCACTTTCCTTTGTGGAACTTTTTCCTTTTCAGACAAATCCCACGCATCATTATAAAAAAAATTCGCAATATTTAAGAAAAAAAAGTACAATTTTCTATCAAGAGGATATCTCGTTTTTATGTGATAAAAGCTAAATTAAATAAAATATTGAACGTCACGCAAGAAAACGACTGACAAATTTTATAGCATATCTGCCTAAAAAGGGCATCTATTAAATTTCCAAATGTATTAAAAAATTATATAAATATGTATTTTTATATCTTCTATGTTTATTTTTAAGTTTGTTGTTATTATGATTCAAACTTCGTTGTAAACATATCGGGACCTAATTAATAATAATTTTGGGAAATCAGCACGACCAAGTCAAAATCCCAGATTTTTTGGGGAATTTTTTGGTAACTTTTTCAAAATCAAAATTTTCAGTACTTTGAAAATTTTAGCCAATTATCGATATTTCCACCTCCAGAATTTAATTTCACTTTTATTTGTTCGATAGCTAATACCATTTTTCCAAAATCGTACTTTTTGGATTTAAAAACACAACAATATTTTCAAATCGAATATTTTTAGATCTTGCACCATAAGTTTTTGGAATCAGCACGACGAAATCAATATCCCAAATTTTTTTAGGAATTTTTTGGTAACTTTCCAGAGATCAAAATTTTTCATTACTTTTTGGCGAATTTTCAAAATTCAACCAGACGTTTTCCCATAGAATTCGACCTCCAGAAGTTGGTTTTGTTATCAATTCTTCGATAGCTCCTACCATTTTTCCAGAATAGCACAATGAAATATTGCAGTTTTTTGGATTAAGTATTTTGAAAACAAATCGAAAAACTGAAAAACCGAATATCGAAACTTTAATTTTTTTTAAGTCAACAAATTTTAAGTCGAATTAACCGAGATGTCAAGAAATCGGAACGTCTAAGAATCGGAAAATCGGAAAATTGAGAAACTGAAAAGCCTAAAGTTTAAAAAATCGAAAAACTGAATAATCGAAACATTCAAAAATTGAAAAATAAAAAATCAGAAAACTGAAAAATAAAAAATTTTAAATTTCGAAAAAACTGAATAAGACTCGAAAAATTCAGAGACAGGACAAATCGAAACATCAAAAAATCGAAAAATTGAATAATTCAAAAGTCCAAAATTGAAAAATCCAGAAATTGAAAACTCCAAATATCGAAAAATTGGGAAACCATAAAGCCGAAAAGTCGAAAAATCGAAAAACTCAAAAACTGAAACATCGAGAAATCGAAACAACAAAAGATCCAGAATCGCACAATGAAATATTGCAATCTTTTGGATTTAAAAAAAATATATTTTCAAAACTGAAAAATCCATGTATAAATTGTAAAACTAAAATTAAAAAATTCGAAAAATTGAAAAACAAAATTTAGGATTGATCTTCCGAATATTCGTAATGTGGATAAGGATCAAAATGGTCAACCAGAAGCTGTGATCACTAAACTATCTGTAGTAGATTCCGATGGGTTTCAAAGTGTTGCGTATAGGAGGAATAGACGCAAGGTAATTCGTGGCAAAGCATCAAATGCCGACACCAGTGTTATTAAAGCTGCGGTTCATAAAGCTCATGCTTATGTAGGTAACCTGTCCATCGGAACTAATAGTAGTATGTTATCTGATTACCTTAGGAAAACGTTTCCAGATGCTGAATTTATTGTAAGTGATCTGCCTAAGAGACCCGATGCCATGAGTGTATCATTCAAGGTCACGATGGATAGTGATGTTTTTTCTAAATTTCTGAATGAAGATATGTGGCCAGAAAATATCATAGTTAAACGTTTCTATTTTTTAAAAGAAAAGGCAGCTCCAACGAAAATTCTATAAAGTCATCAAATAAGGTTTGTTCTTCTGGTCGGAAACTGACTGTGTATTATCAGAATGTGAGAAGTCTTAAGAACAAAGCTGAAGATTTTTTTTGTTCTTGCTTAAGTGAAAACTTTAATATTATTGTGTTAACTGAAACTTGGCTCTCGCCAGAATTCCCTACTAGTGTAATTTTTGATGATAGATACCAAGTTTTTCGAAATGACAGGAATGTCTTTAACAGCAATAAAACTTGTGGTGGTGGTGTGCTGGTTGCGGTTGAGAAATCGTTTAATCCCATTGAGCTATCAGTGATTCAGGTGCCAGTTGAACATATTTTTGTGAAATTTTCTGCAGGCGTACAGAAGTATATTATAGGTGCGGTATACTTACCACCAGCGTCAGATGAAACTGTATATGCCAGTCATGTCAATACTGTTACGGACATATGTAATACAATTACAGATAGTGAGGTTATTATTTTGGGAGATTATAATTTGCCGAATATTGTATGGCAGCCTTCTGATGTTGGTAATGAACTTATTCCAACCATTTGTTCAGGCAATCGTGAGTCGTGTGTCTGTGATAGTTTTTTAGCGTCTGGTTTAAGCCAGTATAACTATATTGGAAACTGCTGTGACAATGTTCTTGATTTAGTTTTTTCTTCTTGCATGTCGTTAGAAGTATCAACTTCCGATTATCCTTTAGTATGCGTTGATCAGTTTCATCCTCCGCTTCAGGTTGAATGTGATTTAGCTTGTGATAATAATTATAGTGTAACATCTCCTATATATTATTATGATTTTAATTCTACTTCTTACTCTGATATTTGTACTTATTTTAATACTATAAACTGGGATACTGTACTAAACAATAACGACGTTAATGAAGCTCTTCATGCATTTTACAATCATGTTTACGTAGCATGCGAGAAATTTGTTCCGATCAAATGTAAAATACCATCTACTTACCCCAATTGGTTTAATAATAACATCATTAACTTAATTAAATCTAAGAATTGTGCTCACAAGCAGTTTAAGCTTACATCCTGTGTCGCAGATTATCAAAAATTTTGTGAACTTAGACGGTTATGTAGAATAAGTATAAGACAAGAATATAATAATTATATAAGTACAGTTGAAAATAATCTTGTGAGTAATCCTAAATATTTCTGGAAATTTATACGCGCTATACGTAAATCCTCAAATAACAATCTTGTGAACTTACCTCTGAGCTTTGGTGACCAATTCTTTTCTGATGAGGTTGCGGCTTGTGAAGCTTTTAATGCTTATTTTTCTTCTGTATATTGTAATAATTCTAAGCCTGATTTTGATGTGTCTTATGATTGCG